AAAGGGATAATTAAGAAGTGACTTCCAATTTTCCTTTATAGCAGTCATAAAAATAAATGTTACTCTGTGACAGCATTGTTGACATTTTCTTTATTATTTACTAGTTTTATATCATTTTTATATCTATTATATTATATGTCATAACTTCATTTTTTTCTTTCTTACAAACATCAGTAAGATTTTCCAATCATCATTAAAATTAGATAAATTCTATCCCTAATTAAAGCAATTTGGCCTACTCAACAAGTTCCATCATCTTTACTACTTTTAGTATCATTTATTATCCATTTCCCCATTGTGGGTAAAGTTGAATTGTTCTGCCTGTGCATATAACAACCTTGCTGCATTTATCATACTGTATATAAAAACAATTGTTTTTCCTAGCTGCTCATCCATCAATCCTCAAAGAAAATCCTCTGCTTTCAATTGGATATTAATTTTTAGACCTGTATTATTATATTTGATGATATGACTTTTTTTACACATCCACCAAGCATGTGCACCTACAACAACAACAAAATCATTTTTTAACTAGTAACTTACATAAGCATTGGAGACTCTGAGGTACACACTCTTTAAAAATTCAGTATCAAGACATCATAATCATCCCTATAGTTCCTGGTTATTTTAGTGCTTCCAACATTCAATAAATAAAACATCGTTATGAAACTCCCACAGTACAAGCTAATACACAGACTAACTTTTGCCTCTAGTCCAGAGTTCTTACAATGGCCTCCTAAAATGATCTCAGTCAAGAGAGAAGACCTTTGGGTAGGGGAGGAACTCATTATACAGATAAAATGGAGTATGAAAGGGTAATGATTTTGTTTTTTATTCAATTATGCAAATATTCAGTATTACTTCAACTGTATTTTAATAAAGTATTGGGAGGTGGTACATAGACAAGTCTTTTTTTTTCCTGGGGATTAAAAGTTGTGGTTGATTTGACATTGAAAAGCTGATATACTGTAATTTGGGGGTGTAAAACTGAAAGTAAGGTACTAGGCTAGTTATAGAGATACCAAACAGGCTGCAATCAAAGGAGCAGATTATTATTTTTTGAACTGACTTCAAGCAACAGCCAAACAAATAATTGCAGTTCATTTTTCTCATGTTTATTTTCTTCTTAACAAATATATATTTTTAAAAAAATCGTTTTTCATTGTTCCAACCTCAACTTTGAATGCTATCCTCCCAATAAATAGCAGAAGGACTGTTGGAATGTGATCTTCTTAAACCTGAACAAGCCAGCTTTGTTATCAGAGCAATTGCCATTTTCCATCTCATTTGAAATCTTTAATATTAAGCTCACAAGCATATACAGACTGAGAGACAAGCATGGACATTTTAAAAGTGCAGCTTTCATAGAAGTGTTTGATCTGATCAGTCAAACATCCGTTTTCTTCCATACATTAAAAAAAAAAAAGTAATGGAAATGCAAATACAGAGAAACCAGACACAGCAAAATTCAGGAACTTTAGAAGAAATTGCAATCCTTATACTGTTATACCTCTGAGTTTCCCCACAGGTGTAGCTCACTCTTCTTACTCTGCCATGTAGCTGCAGTTTAAGGGAGCAAATTATGCCAGCAATGTTCACAATTGCTAACCTTCTGAAGGAACCTAGTTAGGGAATTCCTTATAGAGATATTGATAGATATGGGGAAGGTATCAAAATTGACCTAAATGTACACTAGAATCCATGTTGGAGGCCATCCCCATGCAAGAGCCTTGCTGAGCAGCTATGTGCAAATTTTAATCAGATATACAATATTTTGATAGTGGATTAACCTGACCTTTTTTGAAGGGAGAGAACCAGCTTTCCCTCACTTTTTCTTATATCAATCCTTCTCTCTTGTTCCAATTTTGAAATAATTTAAGAATCTTTTCCCTTAATCCATTCTATAAATGTTTTTGTTAATGCTAATTCCAACCACTATATGTAGATATATTTGCTACAGCTGTGCATATGGAGAATCTCTTTTGGAGATTATTGGATTAACATTTTTGGAGATTACCTAGAAAATCTGAGGCACAGTTGTGTTGTTAGTTGTCAAATAACCAGCTTTGGATTTTTTTTCTTTTTTCTTTTAGCTTTGATTACATTTGATCTGTCTGAAAGGCTCTGAAATAAAGTAGCTAAATTTTTCTTCTTGTTCAGATAGTTCTAATAGGATTACATTGTCTTTCGGGCACTACGTCTTTGAAGTAATACATCAAATCCAAGATCCTGCATCCGGTTTCCACAGCTTCTCTATACAGTACTATCAAAAATTATGACCTTATCATGCAATTCACCATCATAAATTAACCTTTTTCTTTCATTCTTGATGTATTCCTGGAAAAAAATAAATAGCTATACATGATAGGACCAATTGCTACTCCAAGGGGTTTGTGGAAAGTTACCTCTAAATTTGCTAGGTTTGTATTCTACAGCTTGCTAATAGAATCCCGATTCAGAATTCTGAGCAGAAAGTGTGAATAAATGAACTGTAGACCTACAGTTCTGAGAACTTAGCACCTGGTGAAGCAGAAAGAAAAATGCATTTGTCTAACACTTGTAGTACACTCATATCTTTCTCAGGCCCCTTAATACAAAACTCAGAGTTGCTATGCAACCCTTTCTCAGCAGAGGCTCTGCTTAGATTCTCAGCATTGTGTTTATATCAGAGACAGCCAGGCAGTGGTGGGTTTCCAATTTTTTTCCTACTGGTTTTAGGAGGCCGCGCTTTACGCGCTTCGTGTGTATGCGCAGGGCTCAAAGACTGATCTCTGTGTGAGCTGAGCTGTTTTTTAGCTCAGCTGAGGTGCGGCAATCTGTTCTGCCACACAAATCAGCTGAGCTAAAAAACAAGGGAATATAGGAGAGGTGGGGGCGGGTGGGCAGGGCCAGCCAGAGGTGGTATTTGCCGGTTCTCCGAACTACTCAAAATTTCCGGTATGCTAGAACAGGTCTGAACCAGCTGAATACCACCTCTGGATACAAAAAAGATGCTCTATCCTTGGAGGTTTTCAAGAAGAGACTGGATAGCCATTTGCCTGGAATGATATAGGATCTCTTGCTTGAGAAAGAGGTTGGACTAGAAGACCTCCAAGGTGCCTTCCCACCCTATTATTCTATGTTCTAAGAATAAAGGAAGGTTGTTGCTTTTTCAGCAAAATAAGATTTTTCTAATCCAGGTGCCCAGAGCTAGCTGGAGTCGGGCAGTGCCTAAACTGAATTAAATAAATAGAAAGATACTGCATGAAAAATACACATAGGCTACAAAGCCTTTCTGATAACTACATGCTTTTGTTCCTCACTGAGATGACAATCTTCTGCAATATTTGTTTCTTTCATTTATGATGCCAGAATCAAGGGAATAATAGAACTATTTCTTTTTCATCACATCAAACCAAAAATTTCTGTTCTCTGCAAGCTCTTACAAGCAATTTTACATACTCTTATAAGAGGGTAAGTTCCATGTAAATCTGTGGAAAATACACATCACAAAACTAATACCATCCCTCGCTCCTTTCAAATTCAACAATCTCAATCTGGCCTAAATATAATTAACACAGGAGCACTTTCTCCATACTTATCACTTTTGTTTTTAAAACCCTTAAAATTAATTAACAGCTGCATAAAATAAATCCCATATAATAAGATAGTGTAGGATAAGAGAAACTAAGCAGTGACATATCTGTACAGCCCAGATAAATAATTGCAGAGTTGAATTCTCTGTAACATGCTAACTTTTCTACCATTATGAATTTAATTATGAATTTAATTTAATTTAAGAATGCTGTCCACAGTTTCTTTTAACTCATATGAGGATGGTGGTTGACAGAAAAGCAAATAAAGATCCCCCCACATGACTTATTACAATCTGTCATCCTACAGATGTGCTGGCTTGAAACTTCCAGAATTTCAAAATTTTAAATTTCAACTAGCAATGGGATAGGGTGAGGTGGGAGCCTGGGATGGGTTTGTTGCACACATCTGAGAAAAAATGGTTGAGAGACACCAAGTTTTTGTTTCTACTGTTTGTTGTTTTTTAGCATTGTTGTGAGCCAGTCAGAATTGTTTCCTTAGGATGGGCAGCCATATTAATATTGCAAATACATACATGGTTACACACATGCACATTATTTTCGTACTTGAAGTCCTACTCAACAATTTATCTTCAGATGTTTATATTTAAATGCTTGGAAAGAAAGAGTGGAGCTATGGCCATTGCTCTTTCAATGGGTTATTGAATCTTCATCCTCCCTGTGTTGAAGTGACATCTGCAGTACAGGTAGTCCTCGGCTTACGACCACAATTAAGCCCAAAATTTATGTTGCTAAGTGAGGCATTTGTTAAGTGAGTTTTGCCCCATTTTACAAGCTTTCTTGCTGCAGTTGTTAAGTGAATCACTGCAGTTGATAAGTTAATAACACGGTCATTAAGTGAATCTGGCTTCCCCATTGACTTTGCTTGTCAGAAGGTTGCAAAAGGAAATCATATGACCCCTGGACACTGCAATTGTCATAAGTGTGAGACAGTTTGGAAGCATCCAAATGTAATCACGTGAGAATGGGGGATGCTGCCATGGTTGCAAATATAAAAAAATGGTCATAAGTCATTTTTTTCAGTGTTGTTGTAACTTCGAACAGTTATTAAATGAATTGTTGTAAGTCAAGGACTACCTGTATCAGAGGTGGTATTCAGCAGGTTCTGACCAGTTCTGGAGAACCGGTAGCAGAAATTTTGAGTAGTTCAGAGAACCAGCAAATCCCACCTCTGACTGGAGATTTTACAGTATCCTTCCCCTGCCACGCCCACCAAGCCACGCCCACAGAACCTGTAGTAAAAAAAATTGAATTCCACCACTGACCTGTATGTGTTTCAATCTGTGTTGTGGAATTCCTGCCATGGACAGTTGGTGAGCCACAGGAAAGGGAATCACGCAATGATAGACTTAGTCATGATAAAATTCAATGAGGCTTCTATTTTAAAAAACAAACTGTGTGACTTACCTATTCTCAAGTTGCTTCTGTTTAAATTTCGGATGTCATGCCATGGCTTTCCCGCATCCATAATGCCAGTAGTTCTTCAACATCTTCCATACTTGAGCATTTCTAACTTTAATATCAAAGCAGGATTGGTTGCATGCTGCTGAACCTGTGTGCTTTAAGAGAGGGGGGGGGGGGGGGTGAAGAGATATTGAGATTTCATGACCTGCTCAGAGGGAATTAGCATATACACTTGCAAAGCTAAACCCAAATGCATTAAAAATAGATCCCCATAAATTGCTTTTCCAACATATTTGGAAAAAAATTAACATGAATGATAATGTCGCTTATTTGCAAGGCTACCCACAAACAAGGACAGAAGACATGTTTGTCAGATCAAACTCACTTAGAGATGTTGTTAGGGATGATTGAGAGTTTACAATTGAAAGTAAACCAACCAGACAAAATTTGGAGAACATCAGTTTAGTCTAGCCTTCAAACTGACAAATCCACAGATGTGCTAGAACATCAACTTCTAGAATTTCAACAACAGAGTGGTCAATGCCTTGACTCTGTTGTTACATCCTCTAACCCCCACTCCTTTAACCTCAAACTATCCACTATTGACCTCACCCCATTCCTAAGAGGTCTGTAAGGGGCGTGCATAAGGGCACCATCATGCCTACTGTCCCTGTCCTATTGTCCCCATTTATTCGTACCTATTTCCTGTATTCTTACTCATGTTTGTCTTGTAAGCGATTGACAAATCAAATAAATAAATAAATAAATTTCCCAGCTGGCATTCAGTTGGAATGCCAACCCGACTGGGATGAAATTATTGCAAGATGCTAGAATAAGAGGAGGATTTGGCCTGCCAAATTGGGAGTTACATTATCAAGCAACAACTTTGATGTGGTCAAGGAATGGATTACACTAAGAAATACTAGATTATTGACACTAGAAGGACATGATTGGGGTGGCATGCCTTCTTATGGTACAAGGCATCTAAAACGCATGGTTATTGTATAAGATATTACATACGAGAGGCTTTGTTATTAAATTGGGAGAAGATTAAAAGGCAACACTATTTAAAAATTCCAGTCTGGCTATCAACTATAGAAGCATTTTCATATCCAGTAATATATAAAATGGAACAAACAGTTAGATATGGCGAAATATTGAATGAAAAGGGTGAACTTAAATCTATGCAAGAATTGGAAGAACAAGATATAAGGATGAATTGGTTTTCGTATGTGCAAATACGAGGGCTATCCACAAAATAGATTACGTTTTCGTCTGTAGCAAGAAGGGGCGGAGCTAGCGTGGCCATCTTTGGTCTGTGCGTCCACCGCTCAGTCTGCATCTAGTCGTGCTAGTGGGAGGTTCGTATCGTTGCCCGTTATTTCACAGCAAACGTTTGAAATGTGTGCCGAGGATGAATACCTGGCTTGGAACACAGCGCTTTGACGCCTGAGATTTGAGCCAGTCAGTCACGCCCACCCGCAGTTCCGCGTCATCAAAATGCTGTGTTCCAAGCCAGGTCTTCATCCTCGGAAACAAGTGGTAGTTGCTTGGTGCAAGATCGGGGCTGTAGGGCAGATGAGGAAAAATCTCCCACTTGAAAGCATTCAGGACTTCTCGAGTGCCGTAGTTCGGCCATTTTTAAACTTAATGCACTATTGGCGCACTCCACCTTCAGTGATGATGTTGTCCCCGTACACTTCACACAGTTGCCGAAAAATTTCAATCGGTTTATGGTTTTTTGCCAACAAAAACCTTATCACTGATTGCACCTCACAACTCGAGGGATTTTCAATTGCAGCACACATTTCAAACGTGTGCTATGAAATAACGGGCAACAATACGAACCTCCCACTAGCATGACTAGATGCAGACTAGATGCAGTGCCGCTCAGGCGGACGCACAGACTAAAGATGGCCGCGCTAGCTCCGCCCCTTCTTGCTACAGACGAAAATGTAATCTATTTTGTGGATAGCCCTCATACATTCTAGATATGATAAAGATCTTAAAACAGGAGGTTTCTATGATAAATTGACTGATTTAGACAAAATTTTGACAGGTACTGATGAAAAGGTGATTAAAAATTATATGGAACTAGATTTTTTAAATTGCTTTCTAGTCTTTGGATCTCAGAAGGAAATTCCTTCTTGGTCTGCAGTACTACAACATATATCCCAAGCCAGAGATGTTATCATGGTTTGTGAGAATGAATTTGGGAGACAGGGGGAAGAGTCACAGAAAGGAAACAATCAGATAAGAGGCAGCTTATTGCAGGAAAGTGACAAATGTCTCAGAAGAGATCCTTCTTAGATTCATGGGCTCTAAAAGCCAACAGGGGAGACTTGCAATATTGATTTCAGCCTAGTAAGGTATATTCAACCAAATAAATAGTTATTTTATTTTATTGTAAATTTACATTAACATAAACTTAAAAATCTAATAAAGGAGAATATTTGTAGCTCAGAGCTGACATGAGGGGTCCTTGGTGCTCTGTGAGCTCGCTTATTTTCTTGCAGGCGTTTCATTATCCAAACTAGGTAACATCATCAAGACTAGATTGGCACTTAGTTTGAGTAACGAAACATCTGCAAGAAAATCCCAAAGCTGCTTTTTCAAGAGGCAACTGGACTTTCTGGTTTGACATGATTGGACAGAACTGAAGAAGCTTCAGGGGATGAGAAGCGAAACCTCTTCAAAGAAAAACAAGGAAGTCCAGTTGCCTCTTGAAAAAGCAGCTTCGGGACAACCATGACCCGGATGACTGAGAATCTCCATAGACATCTGCAACAGTGGTGGGATTCAAATTTCTTTACTACCGGTTCTGTGGGCGTGGCTTGCTGGACGTGGCAGGGGAAGGATACTGTAAAATCTCCAGTCAGAGGTGGTCTTTGACAGTTCTCCTAACTACTCAAAATTTCTACTACCGGTTCTCAAGAACTGGTCAGAACCTGCTGAATACCACCTCTGATCTGCAAGAAAACAAGCAACTCAGAGAGCTCCAAGGACCTCTCACTTGAAAGTCTGAAAGTATATTCCCCCACCTTGCCTTTACAGCTCAAGAAACTAGAGAGAGTCCTTTCTGGGCTAAGCTGTCCCTTCACTGACAGGTCCCCTGGCAGTGGCTGTTCCCCATGTACCAAGGTCATTCCTACCTATCGTTAAAAATGTCTACCACACAGACACCCAGGCTTCCCACACAGAAAGCCACTGTTTGTCTTTGCATTAACAGCTTGTGGAATGCTATAGTTATTCATGCCTTGATGTAATTTGAGGCCTGCTCTGCTTTCCCTTAGAGCCATGCCGCCTTCTATTAACCCGTCAAGCATTTTAAATGAAAGCAACTCATAATTTCACTCAAAGTGGGTAAGCTTCATTAAAAAGCAGCGATGAGTTTAACTGAAGATTTTTCTCTCTTTCTCCCCAGTTCTTTCCAAGGCTAAGGCAGCATATGGAAGAGATGATAGAGGGATGTTTACTTTGATAATGGGCCCTGCTTGCTTGCTCTTTATTTCGGTTAGCTTGTGGTGGGGGGAGGACAAATCATTAAAGGGATAGTCTAATTTACAAGAAGAGAAGCATGCCAACTGTTGACCAGCAGGCTTTTGATTGGATTCCAGGAAGACAGGTGTGCACTGCTCCAATTTACAGCTAGAAGGAGAAATCAATGTGTGTGATGAGGCCCAAGCAGCAGGGAAGGAGCCTTTCTGACAGACTTTTCCCAGAGCAAGCAAATAATTCTACTCTAATGACAATAATAAAATACTCATTTTTAAATTAAGCATAGCAAGTGTGAAGAGCTTCCACAGATGCCCTTACAAATATAAGGTTGTTTTTAATTGTGTATTTTATTTCCTTTTTTTATTTCAATGCTTAGCAAAGTTAAATGGAAAAGGGTCGAATTACTAAGAGGAAAATCGGTGTGTCACAACAAAAAACCTCAAAGATAAGCTGGGCTCTCACAGCAGTCGATCACATGATTCCTATGTATCGCCCACATATTATTCCCCAAACTTCCTCTCTGGAAATCTTATTTGAAAAGTCTTTCATGTTTCTGTTGGTCGTCCTGGTCAAAATGGCTCAAAAGCCAGGGAAAAATGGAAAGAGGAGCCATCAAAAAATATAAGAAGTCATGCAAAGCTTAACAGTAAGGCTTTTTCTATGTTTTGTATGGGGTAGGCAACCTTTGGTGATAGGTGATTTTCTTTCTCCTCACTCTTAAAAAAACAAAATTGCAGGGTTTTTCTCTTGCTTGTGGATCAAGTCAAACCTATTCCATGGTTTATGCTATTGTTTTTTTTGTGTGTACCTCCTGTCAAAAGGGAAAGAAACAGTAGCCCTGATTTTTCAAAAGAGCGAAGAACACTGGGAGAAATAAAAGACATTGGGACCCAGTTGCTCACTACAATATATATTCAATTGGGATTAGGTTCAGCTAAGCCTGTACAGCTAAGGCTAGGTGGTAAACTGAATTGGTGCTACACCATTGATATACTTATCTAACACAGACAGACATGGATGTTAGGCCATAGCAGCTTGAGAGCATACAAATGCTTGTAAGGTAAGTAAGTTACCACTTTGGTGGAAAGGTAACTGTGTTCCAAGTGCCTCAATGTAAAGCCTCAACATGACAACAGAAGCATCTTCAGACAACCCCAACAGCTGGGAAATGGCTCCTTAGAGTCAGACATGATTGGACAGGGAAGATCTTTATGTTTACCTTTATTTTAATCCCCGTTCCAGTGGAAATTCCTTCATTAACAGATTAACAGAGATGAAAGGGATCTTGTAGGCCATCTAGTCCAACCCTCCCTCCCTACACCATTTCTGACAAATAGCAGTCCAGTCTCTTCTTGAAAGCTTCCAGTGATGAAGCTCCCACAACTTCCGACGGCAAGCTGTTCCATTGGTTGATTGTTCTCACTATCAAAAAATGTCTCCTTATTTCTAGGTTGAATCTCTCCTTCATCAGTTTCCATCCATTATTCCTTGTCTGGCCTTCGGGTGCCTTGGAAAATAGCTTCACTGCCCCCTCCTCTCTGTGGCAGCCCCTCAAATATTGGAATCCTGCTGTCATGTCTCCCCTGGTCCTTCTCTTCACTAGACTAGCCTTGCCTAATTCTTGCAACCGTTTATTGTATGTTTTAGCCTCCAG